TTTTTGTCGTTGTTGTTTAATTGGGGGAATTGGGGAAGGGGAACAGCCAAGTTGTTGTCCTTCAACCTTAGTTGTGGAGGGCACAGCTAGCTCAGCTCCAAGTCCAGTTGCCATCCGGCCACCTGTTGGCAGCTCAGGGCAGCTCAGCTCAAGGTGCCGTGTTCAATCTTAGTTGCGGGTGGGCATAGCCCACCATCCCATGCAGGAGTTGAACCTACAACCTTCAGCTGTGCTCTCACCAGCTGAGCCATCCTACCACCGAGACCATGGTTATTTTAATTGGACCCAGGGCTCCACTTGGAAAGGCCCCTCACCTGTGGGGCTTCCACCACAGCCCTGGCCATAGTCCTCATGACAGGACTTCTAACCTTTCAAACAGCTCATTAGAGTGCTTGCAGAATTCATGGCTATGCACTGTGTTACTATTGAGATGGCTTAGTTAATTCATATGGAGATTATTTTTAATATTTCATCTTATTCAATAAAATAATTTAGGATAAGTTATTATGTACTGTTATAGGGAATGAGAATGCTTACATAATGAAAATGGCACAGAAGAATAAAAGTAGACTCAGAAGATGAAGGTAGAGGGGCCAGTGATACCCGACTCAGGTCACCCAGACCATGAAGTCCTCACATTTGCTGGAGATGGCTTACCATTTTGGACCTGAGCTTCTGACAGCCAAAGTAAAGGACAAAAAGGGATCTCTTTCAAGATTTGGGGTTCAGAAAACAAAACAAATGGATTACCCTGAGCAAGTACAACATTTTGTGATTAAAAAGAAAAGGAAAAAGTGGTCATGGCTTAGACATGGAGAAAAGACAGATCTCCGGGTAAGAGGTGACTTTCACAGAGAAGGCAGGGTCATAGTGTGTACAGAATGCTTATTATTTACAACTAGTACATATTGTCTATATTGTAAAGTTTAGGTTTACTTTGCACGCATGCGCACACACATGCACACACACACACACATGCACACACCTCCCGTGGCATCTCCAGAGAGCCTCATAAATTGCCGCCTCCCTGGGACGTGATATAGCTACGGTGCTGCAGAGGTGAGCGGGGCGACATCTGAATTCCTTCCTGTGAGGAGGGTCTGGCAGGGGCACAGCAAAGGAGAGGACAGGTCATGGCCACCAGTTGAAGAGGCAGGGAAGGAGCTGGCAGCTGGATAAGTGCTCGTGAAGGCCTGGGTCCCGCAAATGCTCCCCTTCAGGCAGCTATAATTATCTTCACATTTACGGGAAAAAAAAGAGGTTCAGGTGGCTAAGTGTCTTTCTGAAGACTACAACAGAATCAAGGAGAGACTCACATTTGAGTGTCTGGGAACCCAAAGTCTATGCTCTTTTCACACAGGAGGAGACCTAGGGCTCCAGACCCCTAGACAGTTCTTGTGTGGGGACTTGG